ACGTGAGGTCCCTGATCCCACCGAAAAAAATCTACAAGACGAATGCGACGTTTGTGACCTCCGCCACGATGTCGTACGGTGATGTGACCGTGGTGATTGCGACCACCCGTAGCACGCTTTGCGACAGTGAGCTTTCGTACAGGCTTGCCCTTCCACAGATGGTCATTAATTGGACGTTTAAGCCATCGAAGGCCAGGTGTTCGAGGTTTATACGTTTTAAATTGCCCCTGCAAGCCAGTCGTGTAGGCACGCGAGAAATGGTTATGTTTTATGAGAGGGCACAGAGACTCGAGTGCTGATGAGAGGGAATTATGGTTTATAAACGAGACATGATTTAATTTTGATGAATGTTGACTGACGAAGCTTCTCGAGCAATGAGACAGAGGTGGGATAACTGAAGAACCTCTATTTTGAAGTTTTGCCTTGATCGAACTAGAGAGCCTTACCAACTCAGATGCCTGCAAAGTTTTTCTATTAAACATTGGGTTTTTTGTTATCTTGCAAATTGTAAAGCAAACAATACTCTGATTTTTATTTGTTTAATTACTTCGAGGCAAAAAATTTTATCATTTGCAATAAACTGGTAATGCACTCATTTTTCCGATGGTAATACAAGTGGGAGATAATCGTGCACGTGACTTTATTAAAATATTTAAATTAGGTTTATAAGTTACATACACACAATGTTCGTTTCTTTGAAATGTCGCAAGAAACAAAACAAAAAGGGTATTTCTCAATAAAACAAAAAGGTTAAAAAAGCTGTTTCTGTGCCTTAACAACTTAAACTCACACATTATGACTTTCGTAGTTTGAAGCAGGATGACTTTCGAAAGTTGTTGCAAACTCCAAGGCCTGGAGACACCCCGGCTAAAGGAATGCTTGGTATGGCAACTCCGAGACAGAGGCCACCACAGACACCGTAAGCACGAGTGATCAGCTTTACTTTACTAGATTTTTAGTTAATCTAACATGCACGTTCTACAGAAAAGTTGGAACATTTGCAAAACCGGAAATACCTTCTGTAAAATCAAAAAAGAGGTCAGTCATCGTGAAGCTAACATAATACCGATAAAACATAGATTCATATGACTGTTCTACACAGTTCTCGGTTCC